GTTGTTTCAAATTTACCAATTTTAAAAAGACGCTCAAAAATTCCTCCAAAACCAGAATCATACGGATTGAATCTTTGGTCAATAATGAAAAATTGTATTGGGAAAGAATTGACTAGAATTCCTTTACCTGCAAGTTTTTTTTCCTTTAAAGTTTTCTTTAAAGTCATGAATTTTTTTAAATTAATTACGAATGAATTTTCATTGAAAACTTGAGCCACTATATTTCTATATTTTCCGCTATATTTTTTATAGCCTCTATATCTGAAATTTTTTTTTAATTTCTATGAAATCCTTTTTAAAGGTAAACTTTAACGAGCCCCTTTCAATGTTACAAAGAATAACCGAAGATTTGGAATATTCTTATTTGTTGGATAGAGCCTCAGAAAAATTGGATATATCAGAAAGACTTGCATATACAGCAGCATTTGCAATTAGTGTTTATTCGGCTACAGCTAAAAGAACAACAAAACCTTTTAATCCTTTGTTGGGGGAAACTTTTGAATTTGACAGAAGGGCAGATTTGGGTTGGAGGTCTTTAACTGAACAAGTAAATATTTGAAGTTTAAAAAATTGGGGGAAAAATAAATTTTTTGGGACAAAATGTCATCCGTTGTTTGATTAATACATTTTTAGATTTTATTTTTAAAGATTAATTTATTTAAGAAAAATGGCCGTAGAATTTGATTTTAAATAGCCAATAGCTCACACAAATTTTTTCTGTTTAATTTATAGTAACTTAAATTTAGAGGATGTTTTTTCCTTCCCAATTTTGGACTAAATTTTTTGTTTTAAACTGAGCTCTATTTCTTTTAAATTTTCTAAAAGTTAAAAAAATTTTTTTTAATTTTTAAACCAATAAAGGATAAATTATCAAGGTTTCTCACCACCCTCCAGCTGCTGCAATGCACACAGAAGGTGTTAATTGGGAATTAAGTCAAGAATTTATGGTGATTTTCTTTTAAACCTAAATTACTTTAAGATTTTTTAAAAAGGTTGCTTCTCGTTTTCGTGGAAAATATATGTCTGTAATACCTACAGGATATACTCAAATTAAATTTAAAGATGAAAAGGCTAATTTTATTTTTCAAAAAGTTTTTTTAAAGAATTTAAAGAAAACAAAAATTTAAATTAAAAAAAGGTAACAACAACTGTACATAATATAATTGTTGGGAAGCTTTGGATTGATAATCATGGGACGATGGTGAGGGAATTTTTAAAGATAAATTTATTTAAAATTCGGATCCTGGGGACTGAAAATTTCACTTTAAAATTAGAGTGGTTCTTAAATAGATCGATTTTGGACCTATATAAAGACATGCACAAACTAGCTCTGGAACCTAGAGAAAATACTGAAAATCTCTAACGGGAACCCTTTTATTTTGGCTTAATCCTACTAAAGTCCTAGCTCTGAGTCATGCATTCAAGCGGGGTTTTCGAGGTAATTGGATACTAAATGCATTTATATATTCAATTGTACCGAAATGACTAATTAAAACCCCTCAAAAGACCTTTTTTAGATCTTGTTCTAATAAAGTTTGTAAACATAAATCTTTGAGGCTGAGAATTTTTAAGATTTCCCTCCAAAAGTTTAGAGCTAGTTCCCCCTTATTTTTACATACACCATGAAATAAATACATTTTTAACCAAAAAAATTTTTTTTAATTTTTCCTCTAAAGAATATTGTCAATCATGTTAGTGGAGAACGTGCAAATATTAAATTTCATTCATACAGTTATTTTTCTTCTGATCAACCTAGAAAGGTTTTGAAAAAATAAATTAAAATTTTTATTAAATTTTTTTAAAGGTTGAAGGGATTATTTTAGACAAAAAAGGAAATGCTCGTTTTTATATTTTTGGTTATTGGGATAGCTATTTAAATATTGCTTTAATTAATAATCAAAAAAATCAGCAGGGAAAGGTTTTGATTGAAACTGGGGAGCCAAAAAGGATTTGGACTGTTAAAGAGCCTTTGTATGTTTTTTGTGTTATTTTTAAAAGGGTTATTCGAGTATTTAAAATGATTAAAAAATTATTGAGGAGAAGACCCGAAAGTCTGGCACGAGTAGCTGTTTTCCTCGGTTCCGGTTTTTGTCCTGTGTTCGTCTTTATATTTTTGGGTTGTTTGTTGTAATTTTTTGATATGTGGAATTTTTTGGGGTTTCCTTTTTGAACAACTGGAACTGCTAGGTCTGTTTCTTTGGAACCGTTGGAATTTTCATAACGGAAAAATGCTAATGAAGAGAGAGGGTGGTTATTTTCATTTTTATATATTTTTTCTGTAAATAAGTGATCGTTAACTATAAATCCCTTTAATATTTGTTTTATCCAATCTCCAATTGCCTAACCTAATTGATTTTTATTTTTGGGGTATTTGAAATGCTTTGATTTAAATTGCTTAAAATTAAATTTAAAAATATTTTTAAGGGGAGATTCTTCAATGTTTAACTTCACAAAATTAGCTATAGAAATGAATGAACCAGATGACCAAGTAGCCCCAACAGACTCTCGTTTTCGCCCAGATCAGCGTTTAATGGAAAATGGGGATTGGGATGGGGCTAATGATCGAAAAAATGAATTGGAGGATAAACAAAGGAAGACGAGACGTAAAGCTGAGGCAGAGGCTGAAAGGGCGATTGCTAATAGTAAGAAGGATTAATTAATTAACCTCAAACAATTCCCCTTATTTACAGATCAACAACCTCCAGAATACCAAGCTTGTTGGTTCCAAAAAGTACAAGATACAAATACCGGTTCAGTAATTCACACAATTCGAGGTAATGAATATTGGGAATGTAAAGAGAAAAAGGATTGGTCTAGGTGTCCAAATATTTATTAAAAATAAAAATTTTATATATATTTAAATTGCCATAGAAGATTGCAATATATATTTATAAATATTTTAGAATATCATACAGTCAAATCTCGTTTTAGTTTATGCCTTTAGGAAATGAAAAAAACTTCTTTAAAACTTAGCTTAGATGTATTACTTAAAAACGTCTTTTTCTAACCCCCAACCAAGACAATATTAGAAACTGTAAATTAAACTGACATATTATATGTAGTATAGTGTCCATTTTATAAATAACCTTAGAAGCATTTATTACCATTATATTCTCTAAGGATAGCTATTGGGTTGGCCAGACCCTAGCCCAGACCCTTATCAAGTCACACCTTGTGTTTCTCTTATGGGGCACATATAAACGACTGGATCAACTGTGGAATTATACTATAACGAGATTTGACTATCTGATAAAGGGTTGGATTTATTCTTATTTATTTTTAGAAATTCTGATTTTTATCTCCCTCAACCGGAGCTGGCCGGAAATGTTTTTAGTTTATTATTTCCGTTTATTTTTAAATATATTTTTCCGGAAAGTTTTCAATTTTTCTGGGGGTTTTTAATTTTATTTTTAGATGCTTCCAGAAATGTTATTTTCAGTTAAATTAAAAAAAAATATATGTTATTTTCAAAAAAGAAAGATTTTTTTTTGAAAAATAAATCCAATCCTTTTTTAAAAATAAAAAAATAATTCTATTTAAAAAAGTGCAAATTGGCTGTAAATTTAGAAAAATACTAAATATTATTTCTTTTAAAAATACTCTTCTTTAATTTACGCAATTTTTCTTTGTTTTTAAGCTTGTAGAGAGTTGCTAGTTTTCAAAAAAAAATTTTTTTTTAATTTTATTTAATAGCAACTCTTTTATTTTTAACATTTAAAATAGACATATCTAAAAATATATTTTTATGGTTGTTTTTCTTTTTTTGGGAGAATTTAAAAATAAATTATTTTTTTAATAATAAAATTCGTTTTTATCGGCCATAGACCTCTTTATTTAAATAAATAATTAAAAAAATAAATTAATTAACAAATTTAGATATTTTTTAAAGTTGGAAATTAATTATTTTTAAGAATAATTTCCAATTTTAAAAATGTTTAGAGAAGATTAAAAGGGATCGGGAAATATTTTTTTGATGTTCTCATTATTTTCAAAATTACCTTCACACTACCTTTGTTGTGTTTCCCATTGTTTCCCGATTTCTTCATTTGGTTCCTTTTACACTACCCCCCCCCCCCCATTTTCAACGGGAAATGTCGGGTTTCTGATAGGTTTTCCGAAAATTTTTTAGGATTGGGGGTCTGCAAGAAAAGGGCAGGATCTCGTCTAATCCGACCCTTCATGCTGACCTTAAATGTAGTATTTTAATTTCCCAATCCCTTTCTATAAACATTGTTTGTGGGTATTTTAATGGGAAATGACAGAAAATAAAGACAAAATAAATATTTTTACCTAAAAATTAAAAAAATCCTTTCAAATTATCCCCCCTCACTTCACTCAACTCTATTCCCTCGTCCATTTCCCCTTTCTTCGCCTTATTGTAGCTCCTCCCAATTTACAACATAGCCAACACGTTAAGGTTAATCCAGCTACCAATAAATTAAATAAAGAAATAAATGCAAGCAATATCCATTTTTGTTTTTCTGTTTGAGGCAGTAAATTTGTTAAAATATTATTTGTTGATGTATTTTTGGAAGGATTTTGTTGGCATTCTTCTGTTAATTCTTTAAATTGCTCGTCTATTATCTATTAAATTTTAAAGGGAATTTTTAATAAATTTTTAAATTTTGGAGACGTTTCGGCGCGAAGTATTTTTGGCGTCGTTAAACAAAATAACCTTTCAAATGGACCTAAAATTCTTGAAATTTTATTAAAATGTCCCTTATAATATTTTCTAATTTCTCTATAAATTTCAGAATTTCTGATTTTTTATTTCCAGAGTTGTGACTAAAGAATCACAGTCTAACTAAAAAAATTTGACTTTTTTGGGCCATAACCTGCCTCATATTTAACCCAAAATTTTAAAATTTTTAAGCAAGTTAGTTAACCCTATTGAGGTTATTTTTACAAAATATCAGAATTTTAGGGCTTTATTTGACTATATTTTTATAAGACCGCGCCCAACATCTCCCGCGCCGAAACGTGTTTTTTAAAATTTTCAATTAAATTTTAACCATCATCGGTTTAGTAAAAACATCCATAGTTTCCGGATTTGAACGTCTCGATTTTTTAGTAAAAACTTTAGATTTAGATCGACGTCTACTAATTGTTTGTAATTCATTTAAATGTCTAGGTTTAGTCTCTGGGCAATTTGGGGGAGAAATTCCTGCACAGCCTCCATCCAATTTTAGGCAAAGGGTTACTTGACATTGGAATTGAAGTACCGGCTTGTCTGCATACTAAATATATATAAAAATAATACTCTTAAATTCACAACTTAGTTCTCCTTTTATTAGACCTCTAAGATACCCTTAGGTCTAAAAAACGGTAACTAATAATGAGGTGTATCTAAAATAGAGGGCAATTAGATATCGGACTGCGAGTGCTGTATGAGAATCATAAGAGATATCTTGAAAAATATCAATACAGATAACCGAGATTTCGTCGATCCAGTCTCTACTTAAAATGAGGCATATCTTAAATAGAGGGTATCGCATAGGCAGCACCCCCACCCAGTGGCCAATCAATGTTTTGAAGAACGTATCTTAAATTGAGTAGTGTCCAATATTGGGGGTTTGCAAAAAAGAGGTTTGACTATATTTATGGACAGTCTATGTAATCTATATGTGAGAGGAATAATTTTAAAATTAATTTAAAAATTATTTTGTTTACTTTAAATACGTGATACTCTTTTGTAGCTAAATGTAAACTTGTGTCATAATCTGGTGTTCTCAACAAAACCTACAAAAAAAGACATTTTTTCTTCAAAATTTCTCCAAAAAATTACGGCATCCAATCCGCACCCATTTTCATCCAAAATATCCACTCTATCCCCAAATCCATTATCTACATAACAAGAATGTACAAGCATTCCAAAAGTATCCTGTCCTCCTTCTTCTATACATTCCCAACGGTGATAGACTGGTTGGCCTTGAAAATTATTATTTTTCAATTTTCTTCTCTTTTAACTACCCAAAATTGCAAACTGCACAATTGGCCCTTCTGCCGAATCTTTTCTTAAAGTATATTCACATCTAGGCATTTGAAATACATTTTGGCGGAATTGTGTAGTTATTTGGCTTAAATTTATATTTTTAAATCAGTTTCTTTTTAAAATTTAGAGGAAAAAATAAATTTTTAAATTCCTTCCCCGGAAAGCTTCGACTCGAATTAATTAATTAATTGGAAATTTTGAAATTAGGCGTTTCCTCCCTTAAAATATGTTGAAAAATCCTTCTGAAACACCTTAAACTTCCAATACACCATATTCCACGATATCCTGTTAAATCCACCTAAACCTTTCAAATCCGTTGATAACCTATGTCTATTACAAAAAATTTTTGAATAAAAATTCACGGATTCCCGTGGGATACGGTAAATTTGAGAATTATGATGAAGGGGTACTTAATTAGAGGGGGTATTTGTGTCTCAAAAACCCCCTCCCCTTCCAGTGGCTAACCGAATCTAAAAAATATCTTAAATTGAGTGCAGGTGTCCAGTGCAAAGCGAGAATAAAAATTTTTTTACAAAATTTCTTCAATTACCTAACTTCCATGGGAACAGTCACAGACTTTTCCGCTTCCATATAAAAACATTTAATATTAACCATTTGGTCTACTTTTGTCATAAAACTTTTAAAATAAATTTAAATTAATTAAAATATAAGCATACACAGAATGGAACATAAAAACAACCTTTAAATTATTTTTGAAATTTTTTTTTATTTTTTTGGAAGACTTACAGTCATTTCAACAAATATTCCTTTTGGACTTAACTGGAAAATTTAAATTTTTTAAATTAATTTTTTTTATTCAATTTCTAACCGATCTATATCTGTGGACATCACAATTAGTAAATGGAACGGTTATTCCAATACTTCTAAAAAAGTATTTTATTTCGGAAAAAATTAGAGAAATTTTCCAATGATACAGTAGTCGACAAAAAGATAGAGATAACTTTTTACTTAAATTATTTGAGTATATCAACAAATAATAATCAGCCAAACCTTATACTCATTAAATAGAGCATTAAATGGAGTATTTAATCAACCAAAAAAATTTTTCCTAAAACTGATTTTTAGGTGAGAAAATAGGTTATTTTCATTTCACTTGCGTTTGTCCCTATCTTTTTGTCGACTACTGTATTTTCAAAAAATTTAAAACAAATTTCCAAAAATTTTTCCAAAATTTCTTTCCAAAAAATCCATCCCTCCCCTCCCTACCTAGAATCAGGAAAATTTTCAGGTCCAGCACGGCATTCTGGCTGATTAAAATGATTCTGAACAAACACGTATCCTTCAAAAGGCTTTTTAGTAGATGCCCTAACACCTATTTTGTCTGAAGCACAAATTATATCGGGGGTTCCAGGTCCTTTAAACAAAATAAAAAAATTTTTCCGAAGAAATTTCCTTCCAAACTAAAATCTGTCCGGCACATTTCCCAAGTCAATGCATCAGCTAAAGCTCTGTCTAATTGGTCGAATGATTCCACTGTAAATACTCTAAGCACATTTCCTGTCATTTGGTGTAATTGTTGGACGTTTACGAGGTTACTAACTCCTATGGCATAGACAAGGACGTGGGCATCCCTCAATCGTTGAGCTAAAAATTAATTTTTTTATTGAACTCTGGTAATTTTTGGACTATCTGATATCTCTTTAGAAGAGTTTAACCAGGCTTCAATTTCCCCCTGTTGACATCCCCCCCCCCCCCGTTCCCCGGGGACTTCCCTGCCCGGGGAACGGGTAGAGGTCTCCCCCCAGACCCCCCATTCCCCGCCCCCGCGGTTCGAATTCCCCGCAACCTCCGTTCCCTTTAAAATATTTCCCCGCTCCGTAAAATTGAACCCTACTTTAAGACCCCTTTAGTAATTTCTATTCCATAATTACCAAAATGGTCACAAAGCTACCCATCTCGCCTCATATTTTAACATACTGACCTGCCTCAGCTACTTCATCTTGTGATTGTCCATCAGTTAATACAATAACTACTTTAGGCACCGAACCCCCTCTAGCCCCTTGAAAAGCAGTATCTAATGTAAACTGCAATGCTTGGCCTGTATTTGTAGCGCCCCCAATAAATTTAATTTTTTGCAACGCTACTTCTAACTGAAATTGATTTTGAAAATTTGTTAAAAATTTAACAAAAAATTATTTTATTTAACAGGAAAAAATTGAGATTTTGAACACGAACCCTAACCAACTCTCTACCAAAACCTAACACACTAACCACTCAACCACCAATCTCACTGCCCACAACATACTAAAATACCATTAATAATTAATTTTATTTTCTCCTTAATTTTAATATTTTTCTTCTCGTGGGCATAAAAAATTTAAAAATATTTCTCATATTTTTAAAAAATTATTTTTCAAAAATTTTTCAAATTTCTCTAAAAATATTTAATTTCCAATCACCAACTTGTTGTAAATTAGTATATTGATTTAACGCAATTTCCAACTGTGGCTGTTCAGAAAATTGAATAATAGCCAAATGAGAACCGCTGACAGATATATTTAATAATTGAGCTAATTGTCTAGCAAATTGTGTTTGTAATCTAAATGTTGAATCCCCAACTGATCCAGATCCATCTAATAACAAAACAACATCTACTGTACTGTTTTGTCCACATTCTTTTTTTTAATTGAATTTTAATTATTTTTAAAATTTTGTATTTTTTATTAAAAAATTTTTTTTGATTTTTAGGAAGGTCGAAAATGTTAATTAAATACTTTTATTAGTCAATAAAACTCGAAAAATGAAAAAAGGAGTCGAACGGATTCGAACCCTGGCCGATCCGCTACCGAACCTAACACACTAACCATTCTGCCAAATACTTAGTTGACTACTTTTATTAAATAAGCCTTTTGTAATTAATTAATTAATTAATTAATTTTATTTTGTTTTTAATTCAAATTACAAGATTCATTTTTATAAATAAATAGATACTTAATTATGTAATTGATTAAATAAAATAACAAAAAAAATAAAAAAAAGGAATGCGGAAATGAAAATAAAAAATAAATTATTTTCCTCTTTTATAAAGCCAGTTTTTTTTAATTTTTAAATACCTTTAACTAATTCAGAATCAATTAATCCATTATCTATTGGAATACAAAAAAATAAATTTGGAATTAAATTAATTAAAATAAATACAAAAAATAATTTTATTTGAATAATTAAAGGCTTTTTTCTTTTTATTAGTCTGTTTAGTTGAGTTAACATTTCTAAAAAAAATTTTTTTAATTGTTTGAATTAATATAGTCCTCGTTTTAAGTAGACCTCTTAGGGTTGAAATAATTAAATGTAAAATTGGGGGTTTTATTTATTTTTGGGGGATCACTCTGACAGCTCCAATAAAGGAGGATCACTCCAATGGACAATCGAATTAAAATATTTTTTAATATTTTTTAAATCGAGTAATGTCTGATACAGTGTGAATCTAATGCTATTGAGGTTCGACTATACAAATTTTGAAAAAGAAAAAAAATATTTAAAAAACAGGGTTTGAGGGAGGATTAAATAAATAAATTTTTAAATATTAAATTTAATTTTTTTAAATATTATTAAATAAAAAAAGGTTAAGGACGGAATAATGACGATTTTTAACGCGACCCTAACTAATCTTAGAAAATCCGCTTTAGCGTAAAAATTGATTGAATCCTCTCCTCCTTTCACTATCATAATATGATTAAGCTTATCTTTTTATCACTTTTTTTTTATTTTTTCCCAGCCAGGATTTTCGTGTATTTTTATTTTTTTCTCGAGTATTGCGCTGCACTTTGTGGTAAGGAAGTATATGGCTAGAGGCTATTTTTGGTGATATGAAAACAAGCAGAGAGAAGTAAAAGTTGTGGAGAAAAATAAATAAAAATTTATATTTTTTAAAAGAATTGATAGCTAAAAAAGAAATAAAAAAAATGACAGAAGTCCGCGCAGAGAGAGAGGGAGGGAGGACTGTCCCGTCCCCTCTTCCCTTCCTCTAAAAAAAGATAAAAATCCTTAAAAAGAGAAAAGGAATTTTGTTGTCATTCAAAAAGCGAGAATATTAATTAATAAAAATATTTTTTGTTTTAATATATAAAATAAAAACAGGCCAATGCCGAGGTCGCAAAGGAGAAATTTGCGAAAAAGGGATTATGATAAATGGAATATAATTAAAAAGAGATAAGAGAAAATATTAAATTACAATTGTAAAATAAAAGTTAAACTTTGTTTTTATCAAAGAAAGTTTTTCCAATAAAGCTTATATACTATCAAGCAAGTTTATTTTTTTAACTTAATTTACAATTGTAATTTTCCTAAAGTTTATTTTTCTTCAACCTTGTCCTTACAAACAAGTTTTTTAAATTCAAGTTTATTTTTACAACTGCAATTTACAATTGTAATTTTCTCTAATAAGTTTATTTTGTTAAAACTTGCTTTTACAACCAAGTTTATTTTTCAATTCAAGTCTATTTTATCTAATTTTACAATTTATTTTTTCTATTTTACAACTTTACTTTTCTCTGTCAAGTTTATTTTTCTTTCTCTGTTTCCAACTTAATTATTATTTACAATGTTTGTAATCCAAGTTTTATTCAACCATTTAATATATTTTAATACAATAAAAGAGACAAAATAAAATACCAGAAAACATCAAAGCAAAAGTTAATTTTTAATTGTAAAAACATTTTTTGTTTGTTTGTTTGTGTAATTTTTTGTTTTTATATTAACAATAAATAAATATTTTCTTAACCAACATTTTGACGCATAACTTTATTAACATCCATTAACAATTTGTCCATTAATGCCCTCAAATCTTCAATTGCATCGTCCACAATAATATTCTGTAAAAAATAAATTTACTTTAAAAAAAGGAATTTTCTGATATAAAATATACAAGAGGCCCTTCCCTTCTCCTTATAAAAAATTATTTTATGTCTAGAGTTCAAAAGTTAAAATTTTTTGAAAAAAATTAAATTATTAGAATGGTCTGGAGTAGAGATCGAGATTTTTGAAAAGCCTGAGTCTGTTCCTGGGTTTGATTCATTGACCTGGGCAGGATCCTGGGCCTGTTAGTCCAGGAAAAAACGGGAAGGTCAAAAATGCTTGGGCCTGGACTATATGTACAAAAAAAACTATGGCCTTGGTCCAGACCCAGCTCGATATCTAGTCTGGAAGCCAAGACTTTTCTTCAATTAAAAAATTTTCTGATTTTCTAGGAGAAAGATTTACCAATGCTATAACTGACAAATTAACTCCTTGGATTGACCAAAAATTCCCCAAATTATTTTTAAAAAATAAAAAAAAACAAACTTGTCGACAACTATAAATATAAGCCATGATTTGCAACTGTTCATCAACCGTAAATTCACTTTCATCCTGTTTGCCAATTTTTACCAAATCACAATCTGGCCTGTGGTTGCGATGTTCTTCCCTTAAAATTTATTTTTTATTTTAAACAAAGAAATTCCAAACCAAGGATCATCTTCAGCATCCCACAAAAGTTCGTGTTGACAAACATAACAACGTGCACAATCGGCATTTGGTTTAATTTCGCTGCAATAAAAGCCAGCTCTAGCCATCTAAAAATGTTTTATGATTAAATAGTAAAAAACCTGAAAAATTTGGATTTTGAGAATATTTGAAGATAAGAGTCTACTAGAGATCGAGCTGGGCCTGGACCCAGGCCTGGGTCTTTCCTATACTTAGAGTCCAAGCCCATGCATTTTTTGACCTTCCAGGGTCAAAAAATGGGTCAAACTACAGGCACGGGATCCGTCCCAGGTCAATAAACAAAACTCCAGAGCCAAGAAAAGGCCCAGGCTTTTCAAAAATCTCGATCTCTATAGTCAAAGGCTCCCAAAAATATTTCAAAAATTTTATTATTTAAGTGTCACAAAATTTTAGATCATGATTCATAACAATCCTTTATCGTGACATATATCGGCTGTCTAGAAAAGATTCCAGATTTTTAATCCAAGAAAACCACAAGTCTGATCGAAAAAACAAAAATGTTTAGACCTTACAGAGAAATCTGTGGGTAATTTTGAACTTCGTACCCCCCCCCCTTTTTTTGTTTTAAAAGTATTAAAAATGGTCAGTCTGAACACCAATTGTACAACCCATCGAGCTGTGTCAAATGACACCAAAATTAACAAAATCTGACTTGATTTGACCGAGATACAGACCTCTGAAAATTGAACAACCACATGGGTGATTTTTTTAAATTAAAAAAAATTTAAGCAAATGATAGCTCATTCGACAGAGCTCTTCGAGCTGAGTCGAATGACAATAAAATCAACGTGATTAGACAAGATTTGACAAAGTTATGACATTATTTAGACCTACCGGAGTCGATGATTTATGTCATATCTTCGTCAAATCAAGTCGGATCACGTCGATTTTGGTGTCATTCGACTCAACTCGACGAGCTCTTTCGAATGAGCTATCATTTGTATACTTTTTCGTCCTTTTGGTTTTTTGACCCTGTGGTTGTTTAATTTTCAGGGGTCTGTATCTCGGTCAAATCAAGTCGGATT